TTTTGTAAATGGATATTATGAATAATTAATCAATTTAATAATTAATTAATATCGTTGAACGAGTGCACACTCCGTGTCTCCTAACTCTTTAGACAACGCCTATTCAAATTTCTATCTGATCTAAGTAAATACAATCATACAAAAATAGGCGATGACTTTAAAATCACCCACACGGCCACACCTACAACTACAAGCTTGAACATTTGGTTATGCTAGTTTATTGACATGGTATTAGAGTCTTAATGACCAAGAAGTTACGAGTTCAATCACTGCTACCCATACTAATAAAATTTAAATTTCACGTGCAAGGCTCGAGCAAAAAAACAAATCTCGCATGCACGTGAGGGACATGTTAGAGTATAAAAGTTGAGGAATTTACTTAAATAGCACTAAATTATAATGACTTTACCTAAATAGCACCATAAGTGTTTTTCTTCCCAATGTAGCACTTTTAGTCATTATGCATTAGTCATTATTCAATTAAATATTTGTCATCATTGGACATTATTGACATTATTAAGTGCTATTTAGGGAATAAAACAGTTTAAGTACTATTTAGAAAAATTACTTAAGTTTTAGTGCTATTTAGTGCAAATATTTATTATGTTTTAGAACTATTTAAATAAATTCTTCTAAAATTTATTCTGGACATACGACTACATATAAATTTAAGCTTTTGACTAAATTGATTTTTGAAGAAAGAAGCTAAGGTTAGTGGATGCATGGAAGCTTTTAGACTATACTACGTATACTATTATTATTATTATTATTCTAAACTCGAGCATCAAATATTTTTTGTAAATGCAAAAGAAAAGGTCCCGACACTCCCATCAAAATAATTATCTCAAATGCATATTTTGTCTTTTCAAAGTTTCTTCAATTTGCAAGAGAAAATATACTTAATCATCCTTACGGATTTTATGCGTATATTATATGATCAGGCATCTTACACATAAAATAAAATTGCATGGCTCAAATCGCCACTAGCTTCGATAAGACGTACTAAGTTTATGATAATGTTCTTTTATTCGAATGTTAATCATCTTTTCAATTTTTTCTATCTCTCAGAATAAAAATTGATATCCATTTGGAGAGGTCGTAATGTCCCTTTTTGCCCTATATGGTAAAAAAATGTTTGCCAACACGTACGTGGTTCATGAATATAGTCTTATTAGATCATGTAATGTTCCATAAATATAGTCACAAATTTCAAAAACACGGAAATTAAGACATTATACCTTCATCACATCGTATTTGTCCATTATTTTTTCCGAATCAAATTAAATTAATTTTGAATTTTAATTATTGTCACTTTGTACTACATCTTAGTATGATAAAATAAAATTTTGAAAGTTGTCAACAAAATAAATCAAATAAAATTATTTTTATACTATTATACATTGCATATTTAATTTATTGAATTAAAGCTTAAAGTTCATCGAGTTTATTTCGAAAAATCAAATTAAACAAGTACACTAGAAGGAAGGGACATCTTTGCAAAAGTGATGTTACAACTTACAAGTGAGTTCGCTTAACATTATCCCATAGGAGACAACTTGTAGCGTATAGCATTTTCCATTCTTCGTCTCAAACTATTTAGATAAATCCCCCAATTATTTATCCCAGTTTGACTTGTATAACAACTTTAACCACACATTTAGGCCTCGTTTTGATAGATTTTAGGATGGGTATGGACAACTGAATTAGGTAATAAGACACTTTGACTGAACCATATTAAAAGATTGAATCCAATCGATTAGTTATTAGTTCAACTAATGAGCTTATATACCAATTATTTTGCTCTTGAACTTCCGATGTGGGATGACACTCTAACACGTTTGATACACGGAATTCAAATTATGGAATTGGAATTGAGAATCTCAATTCCAGTTCTGGTGTTAGGTAGCACAAAAATTATGTAAATTTGGAATTCATAATGCCAAAAATGAATTGCAATTGGTAGAATTCAATTCTATGGAATTGAATCCAGTGGAATTTCAATTCCAATTCAATTTCAATCTTGTCAATTCCGTATATCAAACGGACCCTTAATATAGTTTAAATTAAATAAAAATTACTCTCTCCGTCCTTGAAAACTTTTGTTCTTTTCTTTTTTCATGTCTCAATAAAAACTTTTTCTCACTTTTATTAAAAAAATTACTTTTTCTCCTATTAATTCTTAACCTACCTATCATATCTATTCGGTACTAAAATTCCAATCTTTTCACAGACTGAGAGAATATAAAAATATGATATATCAAAATTGTATCTTAAAAGATCTAATTATATTAAATTCATATTATAATTAAATTTTATGATCAAAATTAACATAATATAAATAAGGACAAGCATATTGAGAGGGAAAGAGTATAAGATGTTAGAAATGAGCTCACTTATGTAGTGGGAGGGGGGGTGATGATGTAACAAGTCAAGGGTAGTACTTATGCTGCAGATCTTGTTCAACGATTTGCTCTCTTTAAAAATAAAGTGAAAAAAGCTAAGCCCCCTCATGTTTCATTGGCTACCTATAGCTAGCACAACATAAGGGATCCGAATCTTCAAATATCAATCTTTAACACACACAACTTCTATCGCCAATTCCCCCTATCATATTCTACCATCAATTTGGATATACTCCTTCCTTCCGTCCCTATTTTGATTACGAATTGCGGATGATTGAATTAGGATGGGGTATGGAACATTAGATTGGGAAATAAAACACTTGAGCTGAACCAGATTAAAAGATTGAATTCAATCGATTGGTTAGTCCAGTTAAAGAACTTATATAACGATTATTTTACTCTTGAACTCCCGATGTGGAATGCACTCTACAATCCCCCTCAAGTGGGCAACCGGGTCGTCATTTTAAATCTAACCGGTTGACCACTTGCAAATCAACTCGCATTTCCTTAATTTTTTTTTAAGCGCCAACATCTAAAGGACCACGCTGGGTATGGACTTCCAGACGAGCAATCGTGTTAAATGGACCACATGCCGTTGAATACATACTCCATACGGACAACTGGACTAAAGACTTACGGGCCGATAGAAATAAACGTCTAATCGACTAGTTAGTTCAACTCAAGAGCTTATATACCAATTATTTTACTCTTGAACTTCCGATATGGGATGGACTCTAACAGCGGAAAATGACCTGATTTTTTTAAAATTTATTTTTCTTTAAAGATTGAGACGTAAGTAAAAAATAAAACTTACATATATATTTAAAAATTAAATCAAAAATTTTACAAAACAAGATATGATAAAAATATTTTATTTTATCAAATAATTAATAAGGATACATAAATAAACAAAGGTTATTGTGATTTTGAAATAGTAAATATTGTGATTAATTATGAGACGGGGGGGAGTATATAGATTTTGGAACTAACCATGTATACGAAGTAGGATATATATTCCAAGCATATATATAATTTTTCTATTTTAATGTCATTAGTTTAGTGCTTCAAGTTTAATTCGACCTCTTCTTATCTATGAATGGTTATTGCATTGTTCGAATATTGTAACTAAAATAGAAGATGCATGTCAATATGTCATAATAAAGGAATTCACCAACTTTGAACATCACAAAGAATCAAAGGTTAGAAATTTTGAGGTTCTGAGGTTGTTACCTCTCCAATTCGATTAAAAAAAAAGAATCAAAGGTTAGAAATTTTTTACCTTTTTAGCCATGTATTAAATGGGTCGATAATAATTGAATTGACGAGAATTGGCCGTGGAAAAAACCCAAAGAAATGAGAGCTACGCTTGTAATATATGATGATTTGTAGGAACTAAATATGAAAATTAAACAACTTAACCTATTACTAATTAATAAATGTTATTTATAAAATTTACTCTTTAATTTCGTATTACTCATAGAAGTGCAACTCGTAACAGTAATGTTCGATCCACAATCAAACTAAAGACCCTAGAACCATTCTAAACAGCGGTCTCAGCCAGTGACGTAAGAATGACAATTTTTGTCTGCTACTTGCAAATGTTCTATTCTTTGTATGATTGTTATTCATTGTAGCCACCGACTTCGAACCCAAAACCTCTCCCATGTAACACTCTTATGCCAACTGTTGAACTACGTCTTACGGGTGTGCAGAGAGCTTGTACAAAAAGGATGAGACTCAGATCCATTCATACGGTCACTGAGAGAGAGTAAGTTGGATTTTAATTGCAGATTGAATTGGTTGCAAAAAGTGTGGCCTGCACCTAATACTTGCAGAAATCATATGCATAACATAGTTGTCTTCCAACCCTATGTCTACTCTTTTGACATCTCTTATCTTTGCCAACTGCGCAAGGCCCACCACCAAGCTTGTGTGGATGGATGGTATGTATGGTCGTGGTGTAGGGGTGTTGGGCAGCCTGGTCCAGACGCTGAGCCCACGTGAATGGCTCCCTCACTCTTGTCCCCACTTAGATCTTCCGTATCCCCTCCCGGGCCCCACTCCCTTCCCCTGCTATGTGTCTTCCTTCCTTCCTCTCCTCCCCCCTCCCT